AAGGGACTTTGATCATTTTTAGGCAAAAAAGCGTCATCGAGGGACTATGATCATTTGAGTTATTTGTTTTGCCCAAAGAGACCTAACATGCAATATGGCCTAATTTTTGAAAGGCAACAAGTGGATGTAACCCTAGGGGTGTTAGTGTGCAAGTGTGTTTTATTGCATACAAGAGTTTTTTTCTTTGAATTTAGGTTTTTCTATTTCATTGATTTTATCTTGCCATACACGTCCTAATTACTAGTAATAAGAAGCGGAAATGTAAAATCCTACGCTATTACAACAATTAGGGGAGGGGGATACACATTTGTACATGGGGGGTTCAACGAGAAAAATAGACAAAAAAGAAAATAGCAAAAAACAAGATATATATATATAGAGAGAGAGAGAGAGGGAGCCAGCGCGCTGCTGAGAGGTCATCAGAAGTTCTGACCCAGATCCGCTGCCAGATGATCAACCTGTTAGTGAAACTGTATGAGTCAGAACTTCTGACTCTGGAACCTGCAAAACAGAACCTTGTTAGTGGGGAAATCAGAAGTTCTGATTTCCCTGCGCTGCAAGACAAAAGTTTGTTAGTGGAGAAACCAGAAGTTCTGATTCTGCTGAAAAGGCAATAACTCTCAGAGGTTCTGATATCATTGACAGTAAAACAGGCTTCAGATATGCTAACGTCAAAGTCAGCATTTGGCTTTTCCCTGTACTAGTCAGAACATCTGCAACTCTGTTGTTACTCCACAAAACAGTAAACATATTTGGAACAGATCCAGCAAATACAAAAATGTTTCAGAGGTCAGAATCAACAAGGTCACAGGCCAATCCTATACTGGCTCAGAACGTTCTGAGGTATAAAAATCCTCAGAACATAAACAACAACAACATGATATTTACATTATGTTATTTGAATATGCACAACTGATGATGCTTAACAGCGTGATGAGGGTCAGCAGGTGCTTACCTGACTGTTGGGAAAGTTTGTGGGTGAAAGTTAGCTTTTGGTTCTGGTGGTGTTCTGGACAGATTTTCTTTGAAAAGGGGAAGTAAAGGTGTATACGTATGTAGGGTCAGAAGTTTGGAAAAGGTGTTTTTGGTTTACAGAAAAAAAAAACTGGATATTTGATGAAGTTTGAAGGTGAGAAACTAAAAGTTATGAAACAAAGCTGGAGATTTTGGCAGAGTTTCAGAATGCTGTGTTGCTAGGAGTTATGTTTCTCACTTAGCAATTTTCTTCTCTTTTTCTTGAACGCCTTTTGCAGTGGTGAAAGCTCTCTATTTATAGGCAAAGTTCTTGTGGATGCCTTGAACATTAAAGCGCCAACAGATTTTGAATTTGTTCTTTGACAGAAATTCCTGGGAAGTTGTGATACAGATAGCTTTCAGCCTAGGTTGCAGCAGCAGGCGTAGATTGGGGAGAAGTGACCTCTGAAGTGGGCGGTGGCGTGAAGACCCATGCCAGAATCTGTGCAAAAGCGTTTCCCAAGCCACACGTGAATGCTCAGGACTGGTTGGAAGCATTAATGGGCATTAAATGGTGACAAGACCTATCAATATCATCATTCTGGTAATGGAAACCAACGTTGAATCAACAGCGTAATACCATGCTCTGGCCTTGGCTTCCTGTTGTCTTAGTAAGCTCTGGAGATTCTTTATCAGTGTAACACCCACTCTTCTGATCTTTCATCTTCTGATTTCAACCTGTTCTGAAGGAGCCTTCAGACTTTCCTGCTTCTCTTGCATTCCTTTAGCAAATTCTGACTGAGCTTGTGTAACTGCTGAAAGGGCATGTTCTGTTTGAGGCTTACCTACTGATCCACGTTTACAACTTCTGATTGAACTGATGTAGCTGTTGAAGAGCCAACTTCTGACCACGCTGAGCCAAGCTTGCAACTTCTGACCGTTTTCATCTGGAATGGGTCCAGAAGTTCTGAAGCGCTGATTTTTCTAAAAACACTTATTTTAGAGAAACATTCTAAGTATTTAGAATTTGATTTTTCTCAAGATAAAAGCGTTGTTTTTGGAGTTCGTGAGATCATCTTGCTTTTGTAAGTGGCTTGTTTGGGCAAAAGGATAACTCAGGGCTTGGATTTGTTTCAGAGGGACCTTGAAAATTCAAGATGGTTTCCTGAAGAAAGGGAGGGCAAATTTTGGGGTACAACACCCATAATTCCAGAATACCCAATTATCATTATTGCGCCGTGTTATTTTATTTTGATCGTATCTTACTGTATAGGTTGAATTAGCCAAAAAGGAGATCGCCATTGAACTTGCAATGGTCGAATTAGGTGGACTGTATCCTTGTTTTCTTTTGATTTGGCCGTTTTCGCAGGTTTTGAAAAAATTGATCGTCGAAGAAGACGACCGGTGCTAGGGCTCCAGCGTCTCTCCGGCCCACTAGTTGTTTAACCTAAGTGTGGCACATGTTCATTCGTTTGTTCAAAATTATAGGGACCCACTAACACGCGCATGTTCAAATTTGTTTGACTTCTGGTTTTTGAATTAAGTTTTATATTATATTGAATGATGCTGATTATACTAACGCTTAACAATAAGTGTCCTAGTGGTAAGAGTGATGGTCTTTATGCGCGAGGGCGTGGGTTCAATCCCAACTTTTGTCAAATAATTTTGTTTTTCAGGATAACGCACAAGTTTATAACAAAAGGATTCATTCTCATTCCAAACACAAACAACATCAGGGCACAATGGATGAAGGGTATGCCTTTGAGATCTAGGGCATGGGTTCAACTCTCACCCCATACATTTTTGTTTTCCTTATTTTCTAACCTTATTTTCATGCCATTTTCTTAATTAACTAACTTACTTCATAATTAAGCCATTAACCCATTAATTAGCACAAAACCTTTTTTTTTAAATAAACCATTAACCTTACTAAATTAGAGTTAGTTTCTTAATTAATTAATTAGACTTTAGGATTTTTATTAATTAAAATTAATTAGAAATAATTAAGTTTGAATTACTATTTATTAACCTAAATTATTTTCTAAAAACACAAAAACATTAAAACATTTTTCTAACATTTTTCTTATTTCTTTTTTGCTATTTAATTTTCTTAGACAAACTGTATAGGTCGCAACTATCGATGTAATAGTGTAGATTTACATTCCGGCATTTTATTTAATTATATAACTGTTCACAGGATGTATTAGCTTAGGTTTAATTTCTCGCACTTTACATTCTGCACTTTAATTTCCTGTACATATTTGACTGTTAGTAATTAGGGTTTGTATGACAAGACTAACAATTGGACATAGAAAACCTAATTTTCAAGATAAGATAACTGAAACTAATACACTTTACACACTTTCACCTCTAGGGTGACCTCTCTTGTTACCTTACTAATATTGGTCATGTCCCTTGAAAATGGGGATACTTTAGCAAAAGACCCTCGATTTAACAATATCATCATAGTCCCTTTCGGATAAAGATCATAATTCATCGATGATCCTTTGAGTTGCCTACAAAATGATATAGTTCCTCGATGACCCTACCAGCAAAATGATGATAGTCCCTCCGATACAATTGCTAAAATATTCTTATGTGTTGCCTTTGATGACCATACGATGATCCTACGCTTGTCCCTTCACATCTAATAGATAGAGATACCTACCAACTAATGGTATGGATAGTACCATCCCTTCACATTATAATCTATGTTCTGGTATTATTCCTACTATTTCTTTATTTTATTCCATCTAAATAAAGTTCATCGCGTTAGTTATCCAACGCTGCGAACAACACTTCAAACCGAATTCTAAAACTCAAGTTATGGTTCTTTTAAGAAAGTCCAAAATAGCCAATCAAATCTACCTTCCTTCGCCTGACGAAACATCTACATCGCATGGTGGCGCACCTTTCGCGTCTGCTTCTCCCGGCGACGCTAGAGGCGAAGCATTCTAGAAACTATCTTTTATCCTGCCATCCATCACTACCTATTTCGCTTGGCGACAGCCTAGCAAACTCCATCGCCCGACAACACAACCTTCATCGTCTGACGACGCTGCGCGATCAGGGTTTTTCTACTACGATTGCCTGCATAAATCAGGATCCTAAACATCATCTAATCATATGATTTCATCATCTATCAACATACTATGATACTACAATACTTATACATCAATTATAAGTCATTATTCATCACCAATTCTTCATCAATCATCACCATACCCTCATCTACCAAAACCTAAGGCAATTCTACCATTATCTAAACCTTAAATCAAATATAATAACAATGATAAAACTCCTCTTACCTTAAGATTATTTCTAGCAATCAAATCCCCTTTGTGCTCTATCGAAATTCCTATGCTTCTTCTTGCCTCCTTGTACCTTAGGTTTCTTTCTCCACAACGTCTGTTCCAATTTCACGATTGCACATAATGATCGTGTAAGCCTCCAAATTTTTTCTTATACCAAACATAACCTTTGGTTCCCTAATATTGGACTTCCACTATTTTCGTCACTAATTCTTCTCCAAATTGCTATCTTGCCCTTATTATCTCTTACACTAATATTCTATTTATTTAAATCCAAATAATTCTAAATAATTACTATTAAATCTAAATAATTCCAACCTAATTATTTAAATTCTAAACATCCTTATTATCCCATCCTACATCACACAAATCATCATATAGCCATCACAATCATCATAATCATCAAAACATCACTATTTCATCACAAATACATCACGAATACACATCACAAATCATCACAAGGATTCACATAAAAATACCAAAATATCATATATATATATATATATATATATATATATATATATATATATATATATATATATATATATATATATATATATATATATATATATATATAATACTTCACAAAGACTCCTATATTCATATTAAATTAATTAATTAAATAATTAATATAGAATTTGGGGTGTTACACCAACACCAACACCTACACCTATTCATGCCGTTGCATGTGATGTATATAGGTTTATGCTTACTCCAACTTTAAGCCATCAAGAAATGGGTGGCCCTCAAAGTATAAACCTTCCAACAATGGCCAACCATTTGGCTTTGGTAGCGGAGGATGACGTGGATGATGATGAGGAAGATGTGGATGATGATGAGGATGAGGCTGTGGGTTACGAAAATGTTCCCCCTCTTGTGCCAACATTAGATGACAATAGGAAGGTTATTATAAAACCTACTGGTACTGGGTAAGTCATATATATTGTAATTGGTGTTGTGTAACATTGCTTAATAATAACATGTAGCTGAAACTTTCTTTATTTTGCAGTTTGAAACCTGGCAAAGAAGTTGCAAGTGCAATTTATTATGCTATATGCAAACAATTTTATAAACCTATACACCATTGGATTGGGCTCGATCCTAGTACGAAAGCTGATTGGTTTAAGTGGTTTGGAGTAAGTACTTACTGACTTTTGTTACTTAAACGATCAAACTCTATTTAAACAAGTAACACGGATCTATTATTAAATATTAATTATGTGATTTTAACTTTTTTAGGAGAAGGTTTTGTGGGATCCTTGCGATCATGCATATGTTTATGCCAAATTTGAAAAAAAAAGGAAGAGAACGATTAAACGACATGCTGGAGAAGGTGAGGAAAAAAGGGACTCACCTTTTTGGATTGGTGATGAAGTTAGAGTTGGTCTTCAAACTCATTGGAAACATCCCAAGTTCTTGGCTATGTCTGCTCAAAACAAGAAAAGTCGAGCTTCCCCAAGAGGTGGAGCAGTCCACACCACAGGCCGTAAGGCCCATCTTGACGTTGAACTTGAACTTGTAAGTAATAAAATCCTAACAAATAATAATTATTGTGAATATTCTATATATCGTGACAATTTTACTTGTATTCTAAATTGATTATTTGATTATTTGTAGTCACATGAACTTCAAAGGGATTTGCGCCCTGATTAGTTTTTTTAAAAACGCACGAGAGGAAAAATGGTGAATGGGTTGACAATCGGGCTGCATCTACTTATCTAAGTTCTTGTAAATTCTATTTTTTTTAAATGGGTTAACATTCGTTCTTCCTCATTTAATTTCCATTGCAATTACAGACTTTATGCATCTGTAAAATTAAGAAGGCACATGCTTCATTATCTGATCACAATGATTCAAAGTAACTGCTTTTGTTCTACTAACTGCTGGGTGCACTATTGCTCAGTTGAATTCAAAGTAAGACAAATCCAAAGCAAGCCATAAGGCCATCACTTTTGTATTTGTATATCAATCTTACTAGGTTCATGTTGTTGTTTTATATATGTTATCTATTAATATTAATATTCATGTCAATGATATGTTTTTACACAAGTTGTGACGTGACAAACAAATTAATCTCAATAGATTTCTAAGGGAATAGGCATCATCACTACTAGAAAATATGTGATACTCAATTAACCATTCCTTAAACTGAACACTGGGTTGAATTCTAAGTTGAATTCTTATATTTTCTATTTTATATATTTCCTGAACTGAATTACAATAGGTGTGATCTATTTATAGACTCACAGCCAAATGAATCAATTAGTTAGCTCTCAGATCTTACGGATTAGTTAGAAGCATTTGTACATGGAAAATACTGTGCAGCTAGTGCACAGTAGCTACAATAGGAGTTATGTTATACTAGTTATTTTAATATCCCGTTGCCTCTATCTTCTTATCCCTTGGGCTTCCAACCTCCCACCTTTATATTTTCCATGGTTATAGCAGATTAATGACTTTTCTTCTTACACCACTTTTATGTTCAAGCACTATAAGACACTATGAATAAGGAAAAAAAATAGTATACCTTCTAATTAGAGTGATCACTAATAAAGTATAACATCCAAGCAGGAAAAATGTCAACAATAGTCTATCCTTCACGAACTTATAAACATTAGTAAAACCTGGTTACTTCAGGTTTTAATGCATTTTTAATGCATTCTGTTTGTTTTGTCTGTGCTCAAGTTCTGTGCTATCACATGAAACCATAATGCATTTTGTTTTCATTAGTGAATGAATTTATTTTTATGTTTTCATTATTTTTCTGATTTTTTTTTGTTTTCATTAGTGAATGTATGCTAATAAGTTGGTGGGACGGTCTCTTAAGAACTGTACTTACTTCTACTTGTTGCTAGGGTTTTGATATCTTTCTACTTAATTGGTTTTGTTCCTAATTAAGCTAACATGTTAGCGACTTTTTCTATTGTACAGAAGGATTTTAAAGAGAAATTTGATGCATAACTTCAGCCAACTGCAGACGGGAATGGAGATGATGTTCAAGTGTTAGATGGAGAGCGTGTAAGTAAGCTATGGACAGAGGCTGGTGGGGGCGGTAATTGTGGTTGGGGTTATGGTGTAGCAGATTTAGCTATTAATCTAAAACGAGGATAAAAAAGTTTTACCCAACAATCTCAAACTCCACACTACTCTATGTCTGGGATTTCATTAGAAGCTGAAATAGCAGCTAGAATTAGAGCTGAACAAATTGCCGAGGCTGCAACGGAGGCTGCAAAAGGTGCTACTAAGGCTGCAAAAGCTACTGGTAATAGTGTACAGAGGATAGAGAGGGAGATGAATGTTCGGATGAAACTTAGGATGAAGAAAGTTTTGGCTCAACTAGCGGATCACATCTTCATCATTATGATGAAGATTTGGACAATCTGTCATTAGATGAAGAATGATCTTGTACTATTAGTAGAACGAATCTCGGATATGATTACTTTTTGTGAATGTTTTTTGAGACTTGATCATGAATGTATTCCGGGTTATTAAGGATGGTTTTGGTTGTAGCTATGACTATTTTATTTTGTATTTTCAATCAACTTTATAATATTAGGATGATATTACATCGAACGTGCTACTTTAATGTATCTCTTGTGTATGTTTGTTTAGATTATGTTAGATTAAAGAAAAACTTAAATTATGTCTTAATTCTTGAATTGCATTGATTAAATAGATGTTTAAAGCAACAAAAAATTGCTATTACTGTACTACCTAGAATGAAGGAAGAGAGGTCTAGCTAAAACTTGGAACCTGGTCTGGAACTATCAAATCATTTATAAAACATCTAGAGTTTAGGCTTCAGTTAGTCTACCCCTAAGCCAATCCTCTATTTGTACTAATGCTCTATTAAAGTTGAAATGGTTACTTTGTGGATTTAGTGCGTCCTAAATTGATTTTGAATCTTAAAGATTGTTGTGAATTCAATGCCAATAACAAAGTATAGAATAAGAGAAGAATTAACGAACAAGGAAGAAGAAGAACACAAGAATTGGTTATAACTGCTATTCTTTACTTTCTCTTAGAAAACAAGATTACAAGTTTACAAGAATAACAAATAACCCTCTCACCCTAAATTAGGATTTGCTGTGATGCAATGATGAGAGACTAGTATGCTATTTATAATAAAACCTAACATACTAACTAATGGGCTTTTTCCACAAGGCCCATTATACAAGCTAACTTAATAATCAAGCTAACTTAACAAATTAGGGTTTAAACACTAAAACCTAATTTAACAAGCATTCTTCGACAAATACATGCTTCGACTACAGCATGTACTTCGATCATGCTAGAGTTCGATCCAAAATCCCACAAATCTCCACCTTGGACCTAACTCTACAGCATCAAGAGACACTAACTAGCTTTCTTCATGCAGCTTTATCAACTGCATACAGTGGAAAAACTTGCAACTTGGCAATGTTTTGGTGATCATATCAGCGACATTGTGATCTGTCGAGACCTTCAGCACTTGGACTTCTCCACGCTCGATTACCCCTCTGACGAAATGCAGCCTCACATTTATGTGCTTGGTTCGCTCATGATAGGCTGAGTTCTTCGACAGGTGTATTGCACTTTGACTATCACATTTAACAGTGATACCTTGACCTTGAAGTTTCAGTTCCTTTGCAAAACCTTCAAGCCACAATGCTTCTTTCACAGCTTCAGTTAGGGCAATATATTCTGCTTCAGTAGTTGATAAGGCAACAACCTTCTGAAGAGTTGCTTTCCAACTAATTGTTGTACCAAACATAGTGAAAACATATCCAGAAATAGATTTTCTGGAATCCATACAGCCTGCATAATCAGAGTCAACATAGCCTTCGACAGCTGCTTTACTATCTTCACCCAAGGCTCCACCATAAATTAAGACTCTGTTCAGAGACCCATTTATGTACCTTAGAATCCACTTTAACGCTTGCCAGTGAGCCTTTCCAGGATTCGCCATGTACCTGCTTACAAGACTTACTGCATATGCTATGTCGGGTCTAGTACAGACCATAGCATACATCAAAGAACCAACTATATTAGCATATGGGATGCTGTTCATATAGGTTCTTTCGACATCAGTACTGGGACATTGATCAATGCTCAGCTTGAATTGAGGGTTTGTTGGAGTCACAACAGGCTTTGAATTCGACATACCAAACTTGTCAAGAATCTTTCGTAGGTATGCCTCTTGAGATAAGCATAATTTCGACTGTTTTCTATCTCTTCGAATGTCAATTCCAAGAATCCTAGATGCAGCTCCCAGATCCTTCATGTCGAACTCCTTATTGAGTTCAGCCTTCACCCTCATTACATCTTCGACATTGTTGCTTGCTATCAGAATATCATCAACATAAAGCAACAAAATAACAAATGAATTTTCAGGTCGAAATCTGGAGTAAACACAGTGGTCGAACTGACTTCTAATGAAACCTATGTGTTCCATGAACTTGTCGAATCTCTTATTCCACTGTCGAGGAGATTGTTTAAGTCCATATAAATATTTCTTCAGTTTGCACACATAATCTTCTTTCCCCTTTTCGACATACCCTTCAGGTTGCCTCATCAGGATCGTTTCATCTAAGTCACCATACAAGAACGCAGTCTTCACATCCATTTGTTCCAGTTCAAGGTCGAACTGAGCCACCATGGAAAGCAACATTCGGATGGATCTGTGCTTCACAACAGGGGAAAATACATCATTGAAGTCGACACCTTCTTTCTGAGTGAAACCCCTTGCGACTAATCTTGCCTTGTACCTCTTCGACATTACTCCTTCAATTCCTTCCTTAACTTTGAAAATCCACTTACAGCTGACTAACCTTGCCCCAACAGGTTTCTTGATTAGTTCCCAAGTGTGATTATCATGGAGAGATTTCATCTCATCATGCATGGCCTTTAGCCATTCAGTCTTCATTCGACTCCTTATAACTTCCTTATAATCTCTAGGTTCTTCGTCTAGAACTTCACTTGCAGAGATTAAGGCATAAGCTACAAGATCTGCATATCCAAGTCTCTGAGGTGGTTTTATGACTCTTCTTTGCCTATCTCTCGACAATAGGTAGTCATCAACAGTTTCCTCAACATCATCAGAATCTTATGTTTCTTCTTCGACTTCATCTGGGATACGCATTTCAGCATCAACATGCTCCACCTCAACAGGAATCTCTACCTGTTCCAGCTCTTCGTCAACATCATCAGTTTTCTTGAAAGCCATTTCAGTTTCATTGAAAACTACATCTCGACTGGTGATACACCTCCTGTGACCTGGCTCTAGGCACCATAGCTTATAAGCTTTCACTCCTTCAGGGTATCCCATAAACATGCATTTCAGAGCTCTAGGTTCGACCTTGTCTTGCCTAATGTGAGCATAGGCTACACAGCCAAATACTCTTAGCTTGTCGAGATCTGGTGGATGTCCCGACCAAACTTCTTCAGGTGTCTTCATATCTAACGCTGTCGAAGGACATCTGTTTATCAGATATGCTGCTGTCGAAACAGCCTCAGCCCAAAACACCTTCTTTAATCCCGCACTAGTCAACATGCATCTAACTCTCTCCAAAATAGTTCGATTAAACCTTTCAGCCAAACCATTTTGTTGTGGAGTACCTGCGGTAGTTCTGTGCCTTGCATAACCAGAGGCAACACAAAAACTGTCGAACGCCTCATTGCAAAACTCAAGGCCATTGTCGGTTCTCAACCTCTTTACCTTTCTGCCAGTTTGATTTTCGACAAGAGTCTTCCAACTTTTGAAATTCTCAAAAGTTTCATCCTTAGTCTTCTGGATGAATACCCATAACTTTCTGGAATAGTCATCTACTATGGATAGAAAATACTTTGCTCCTGAATGTGATGGACACCTTGCAGGCCCCCAAAGATCAGCATGGATGTAATCAAGGGATCCATGTGTTCTTTGTTTGCCTTTGTTGAACTTCATTCTACAGGACTTTCCAAGTACACAGGGTTCACAAAACTTCAGCTTTTCGACTTTATCTCCACCAAGCAGATTTTGTTTCCCTAATTCAACCAGACCCCTTTCACTGACATGGCCCAATCTCATGTGCCAAATTTCTGTTTTCGACAAAGGTTTCGTGGATGCAACATTTGTCGAACCACTTACAACTTCAGCCTCAAGGGTATACAAGCCTTGTTTCTTCACGCCTCTCAAGACTTCCTTCGACCCTTTCATGACTCTTAGGATACTTTTCTCTCCTTGAAAAACATATCCTTTCTTGTCGAATTCACCAAGAGAAATCAAATTTCTCTTCAAATCAGGTACATACCTGACTTCAGTCAACAATCTTATTGACTCATCATGGAGCTTGAATCTCACAGATCCAACGCCTGCAATCTTGCAAGCTTTGTTGTTTCCCAGCAATACAGATCCACCATCTTGATCACATAATTCCTCGAACAAGTCTTTGTTTGGAGTCATGTGCCAAGTGCATCCAGAATCCATAATCCATTCCTTCGACGAGTTTTTGCTTGAAACCACAAGAACATCAGATGATTCGAAATCATCTTGGACAATAGCTGCGTTGCCATTATCCTTACCTCCATGATCTTTCAGGCGTTCAGGGCACACCTTTCTTGTGTGACCTACTTTCTTACAGTGATAGCATCTAATACCAGATGCATCACCACTATAAGACTTCGACTGATTTTTACCTTTCCTCTTGTCGAATTTTCCTTTAACAGCCAAACCTTCACCAACCGTCGAAGGTTTATGCTCCTTACGTTCGTTCAAGTCCTTAGAGTACAAAGCTGATTGAACTTCTTCAAAGGTCAGGGACTCTCTTCCATACAAGAGGGTTTCTTTGAAGTGAGCATGTGATCTGGGCAAAGCGCACAATAATAACAACGCTTGATCTTCATCATCAATCTTTACATCAATATTTTCAAGATCAAGAATCAACTTGTTGAACATATCCAACTGCTCAGCCAACACTTTGTCTTCAATCATCTTGAATGAATACAAAGCTTGCTTCAGGTAGAGTCGATTTACCAGAGATTTGGTCATATACAAACTTTCAAGTTTCACCCATAACCCTGATGCCGTCGTCTCCTTTGATACCTGTCGAAGAACCTTATCACCAAGGCTCAACAAAATTGCGCTGTGTGCTTTCTCGATCATGGCCGTCTTCTCTCTTTCTGTTAACGCAGCGTCCATCGCCGTCGCTCCCTTCAACGCTTCCAAACAACCCTGCTGAACCAGTAGGGCTTTCATCTTCAAGCGCCATAGACCGAAGTCATTCACTCCGGTGAACTTTTCAATCTCATACTTTGTTGAAGGCATCTTCTCCACGCTCACCGCACCAATTTGTTGTGAATTCAATGCCAATAACAAAGTATAGAATAAGAGAAGAATTAACGAACAAGGAAGAAGAAGAACACAAGAATTG